ACATCCGAAACAAAGGAGCCACTGTCACAGGAGGCACCCTGGCTTTTTACCTACTCCTGCAGCAGCTGTTTATTCCAGATAGCCTTTGTTGAGGCAAATGCCTCTTGAAAAGGATGACTCTTTGAGGACAAAGGCATCCTCAGTGACTTCCACAAGTATACATACAGGTTTTCCCCCAAAAATGTATACACACTTTAACAGCTGATAGCTCAATTTTGAAAATGAAATGTATTTTAAAACACACTGCCTTTATAATTATTCAGTGTGTGTATACATTTTTGGGTGGACATCATATACAAGGAAAGGTCTGCTTCTTTAACAAATTTTAATGGAACATCAAGAAACATCACAAACATGTGATTCATCAAGGAGCCCGCACCAAGTAAAACTGAACAAGAGTCTTGGAGGTTGGTGGAAGAGGACTGCCTCATGGCAGTGTACTGTGTGGCATGGTGGACACCAATCTTCATGGCAGCAGGCTCTCAGTGGGAAAATCAGAAATTTTCAAGGCATGGATGGAACTTCACTGACCTCCTCAATAACACAGGGTCACCTTGGTGCTGTGCCTGGAGTGAAAACTCCCCAGCTAAGTATTGACATGGCCTTTTCTATCTCATGCTGGACTCAAGACCAAATCACCTTCCTATATTTACTACTTACACACTGGTGCTGACTGCATGTAGTACTGCATCGCTGCTGAGGAAGAGAAAAAGCTCCAGGACGCGGTGCACAACCTGCTGCAAACCAACAGGACCCCAGAGCTGCAGACGCTGGAAAGCAAAGTCATGACCTCCGCAGATGTGCTATGCAAAGAAGGGATCAAGGTGCGCAGCTCATCATCTGCTCCCAGGGATCCTTTGTATCCAAAGTGTGCTGCAGCTACAACGTCTCTGAGACTGGGCACTTTGCCACCACCCAGTGGACAAGTACGTACTTCCAGATGGCCAAGGAAATGAAGCCTTACCTTATAGCTAAGCCATTTTCCATGGAGAAATTACGAGATTGCACAAGCAGAAGCAAAAAGGGAAAATAGCCCCACTCTTAATACCATCTTGGACCTTCTGGATGAGCTCAGGGATACAGAGCTTCAGCAGGAGAGGCAGCTATTGGAGGCCAGCCTCCACTCCTCTGGCAGCCACCCTAGCAACAACGCCACGGCAGATGGGAAGAAAAGGCCTTGAAAGGAAAGAGCTGCAGCTGGAGACCTCGGACAGGTGGCATCAGATCTACCAGCACTTGTCGTGCCTGTCCACTGCCGTACAGAATGAAGATGTGGTGTCCTGCCAGGAGTGTGCTCCGCTCCCTGTTGTCCCTTCTAGATGCTAACATAGCACTTTGTTCTTTGCTCATCACGGCACTTGACGTGCTAAATTATATATGTGTATTACTTATTTGTATCTTTTACAGACTATTAAGTTCAATGAGGGCAGAAACCTTGTTTTTTCCAAATTATATCCCGGTGCCTAGCATGCTGAGTGGCATGTCCTAGATACTCCATAAATACATTTTGAATGGGGAATTCTCTTCTATGTAGTATATCTATCCCTGAGTCTGTTTCAAAAGTTAGTCACTTCAGAATGAAAGGTATTGTTTCCATTGTCTACCTGGACTTTCAGCATAACCTACTCCAGGTGTCGTTAACACAAAATTGTTAGATAGGACAAGGATCTCAAGGTCTGAGCCATTCTTACTAAATGCTATTCTTGCTAAATGTTAAAATGTAGCCCAGTATTTGCAGACCAGCTGTAAACAGGATAAGCTTGACAGGAACACAACCTGATAAGTGTAGACAACTGCAAAAAGAAGAAATCAACATGTAATTGACCAAATATTGTATATAAGCAATGGCTAAGACTCCCTTGGGGAGGTAGAGCTTTGGGTATGAACCTCTGGTCTCCTTTACTTGCTGCAAGAAAATAAAAATACCTTGTGACAACCACATCTTGATTTTTAATAGAGCACTCCAAGTGGTGAACCCCTTGAGTTGGTAATAAAATGTTCCCCAAGCTCTATCAGTACTGAGTTCAATACAAAAAGTGAACTAAAACTAAACATATTCAAATATTCGAAATACACTGAATATAGCTATTCTCCATATATGGGTTACATTTAAAGAATTATTGAGCAATCAGAATGGTTCCCTCCTGGAGTACAGGCTAAACAAAGGATTTAGAGTAATGTTTGGGTTGATAAAGATGGGACAATGACAAGACCACGCTAGAGGATTTGTAAGATTTACTTGGACAACAGGGGGGAATATGGCTCAGTAGGTAGAGCAGGACTAGAATGTAGAGAATCTCATAATTCAGGCTCAACAAAGTGAGTAATCTCTCTAAGAGAACATCTAAGACACAAGTGTAACCTTCAACTACAGAAAATAGGGTGGGTTCCTATTGAGCTTTAGGATCTCTGGTTACAAATCTTCTGTTGAATTAGCAGATTCTGTGGATCACCACATCCTATGTGGCAGCAGATTCTTGAGGTGCATTTCTGGAACTCTCTACATAATGCCTTTTGAGATTAGAGACTTTCAGGGGTGAGAAAATGCAAGCTAGCTCTTTGGGTTCATATGAGAGAAAATAACATTTCACTTAAAAGAAAATCTCATTACTCTAGGCAGAATCCCTAGATGGGAAACTGCTTGTAAACAAGCAGCTCAATTCTGTCCTCATAAGACATACTTACCTTCCAGAGAATGAATGTGTCACCAAGTTTACTCCTGATCCAACTTATAAAGTTGAGCTTCACAAGACCCAGCAAGCCTCCTTTATTGACTTCCAGACTCAATTGTGAGGCAAAATCACTTAAGATGTTTTCTAGATCTTTTTTTAAAGAATAGTTTATTAATTTTTAGAGAGAGGGAGGGAGAAGAGAGAAACATTGATGCAACATCAATTGGCTGCCTCCTGTACGCCCCCTGCAAGGAATTGACCCCACAACTTGAGCATGTACCCTAACTGGGAATTGAACTAGCAACCTCTTGGTGCACAGGATGACACCTAACCAACTGAACCACACCGGCCAGAGCAAGTTTTCTAGATCTTCCCTTTATCATTCTATGAGCAATATATAGAAAAAAAGCAGCACACTTAGAGAGTCACTGGCTCACAATATTTAGTTCAAAATGCAGTGGAATTTAAATTGATGCCCAATTGTTTGGCAGATAATGAAACACCTTTTCTTTAATGCTGGTAATATTCCTATATAAATGTCCTATTCAGGGCACATAGTTATCTCACATGTCTATGAAGGTTAGATAAGGCTCTCATAGCAACCAAGTTCTTTTCCCTTTCCTTTGACACCCTATCCAAATTCTAGATTATTTGTATATTATTTGTTTAATGTATTCTCCACTCCCCCCTCTTTATCTCACCACATGACTTTTACTTCCTTAAACATAAGGATCGTGTCAACAGTCTGGACCAAAAGTCTACAAACTTCAGCCACTATGCCAAAGCCATCCTGCCATATGTTTTTGCATGGCCTGCAAACTAAGAATATTTTTACAATTGTCAACTGTTGTAAAAAATCAAATTCAAAAGAAAAATAATGTGTTTGACATGTAAAACATATAAAATTCAAATATCAGTGTCCATAAAGTTTTGTTGGCACACAGACATGCTTGTTTACTTATGTATTTCTGTGGTTGGTTTGATGTTCCAATGGCAAATTTGAGTAAATATGATAGAGACCATATAGCCCACAGTCAAAAGTATTTACTATCTGGCCTTTTATAAAATAGTTGCCAATCTCAGTCTAGAGCATGACTACACCTCTAGCATCTGAAACCTTGTAAGTGATTATTAACTATGTTTTTAAATTAACCTGTTGAATGAATATGAACGAACATGGCTGGACACAAGAAAGAATGAGACAATAAGGTTTCAGGTAGTTCATTGAAAGCTTAAAACAAATGAAGATTGGAATCAAAACATATTTTGTGGTTATTTTATAAGCAAGGTCAGATTTATTAAAAATATCAATAAGCTACTAATTACATAACATTAATGAAATTAGAGCTTTCATAAGGTGTTTTGGGTGGAGGGAAGGGAAGGAGGCTCTGAGAAGGGCAGAATGCCCTGCCATACCCATAGTCACTGAGTGCCTACTCCAGATATCTTTTTTAATTATTCAGTGCTGGTTAGTAACATATTTAATATCCACTCACAGGGCAAATATTAAATTAATATGAAAATTCAAGTATACTTAATGCTTCTTCCAACTCATATAATAGATAAAAAATTTTTTTTGAAGTACAGTTGAGCCCTAGCCAGTTTGGCTCAGTGGTTGGAGCCTCAGCCAGCGGACTGAAGGGTCCAGGGTTCAGTTCCAGCCCAGGGCACCTTCCTCAGTTGCAGGCTTGATCTATGGGACAGGATGGGTGTGGGAGGCAACCAATCGATGTGCCTCTCTCACGTCAATGTTTCTCTCTCTCCCACTCTCTGAAAAGCAATAAAAAAAAAAAAAAAACCTCGGGTAAGGATTAAAAAAAAAAAAAAGTACAGTTGACCCTTGAACAGGGGGGCTTTGGGAGCCAACACCCCTCCCTCCTCCTTTGGAGCTGAGAATTCATGTATAACTTTTGACTTCCCCAAAACTTAACTACAGTTGGCCCTTTGCAGCTTGGGACTCAGCCAATCATGGATAGAAAACAGTCTTTTCCAATCTGTAGTTGCCAATCTGCATCTGGCAATCTGCAGTTGGGAACGTAAAAAAGCTGTTTTCCACCATAGGTTTGTTCAATCCGCAGATGTGAAACTGAGAATAGGTAGAGCAGGCCGTTTTTACTAAAAGAAAAAAATATACAGTTCAAACCTGTGTCGTTCAAGGGCCAACTATATACCTGTTGACCTTAATGTTTCTCCCAATCTGTAAATTAGTAGTATTAGGATAATACACACACACACACACACACACACACACACACTCTCACACACACACACTCACACACACACACACACAGTGCTGCTCATAGCAATTCTGTTTGTGTTGTCTTTCAGAACAGAAATAAACTGATTTCCAGCGCCTCTAGCTTTCCTGTTGAAAGCAGACAGAGTGTATGAAGACCGTTCAAGTATGTCAGAGACCTCCTCCCATGACTCCTTCTATGATTCCCTATCAGACATGCAGGAAGAAAGCAAAAATGCTGACTTCTTTCCCGAGCTATCTGCTTTTCTCAGCCAGGAAGAGATAAACAAGAGCCTCGACCTGGCCCGGAGAGCTATAGCCACGTCCGAGACAGACGATTTTGACTCAGAAAAGGAGATCTCACAGATTTTCAACACCTGTCCTGTCAGCCTCTGTGAAAACCCTTCCTGTAAGGAGACCAAACCGGGTGAGCCAACCTCCCCCGGAAGGCCGCCGGACAGCAGGCCCGAAGAACAGCCCGAGGGCATCTCCTCGCCGGGTTCAAAGAGGAAACCTGGCCTCTCACCCCTCCTTGCCAGACCCAGCTACATCCGCAGCCTCCGAAAGGCTGAGAAGCGCGGAGCCAAAACTCCCACCACACCTGGAAAGCCCAAAGCGGCGTGCCCAGGTAAGGCTGGCCCCCAGAGCCAGCTGTGTGACAAGGCAGCTAATTTCATCGAGGAGCTGACATCCATATTTAGAGAAGCAGCAAAGCCAAGAAACAGAAGCGCAGATGGGGAATCCTCGTCGCCAGACAGCGGGTACCTGTCCCCTAAAAGTCAGCCGTCAGGCCTGAGGAGCGCCTCAGCCAGCCAGAGCCCCACCGGAGACCAACAGGAAATGCAGGCGGAGGGCAAGCTGCCCGAGGCCGGGCACCGCTGCCAGGCGGCCCAGGACGGGGCAGTGCCAGGCGGCAGCATCTCTCGGCCGCAGCCCCAGAACACCCTCCACTTCCCCTCGGCCCCTCGGTTCATCCAGAAGCTGCGGAGCCAAGAAGTGGCAGAAGGAAGCAGAGTTTATCTGGAGTGTAGAGTCACTGGAAACCCACCTCCTCGAGTCAGGTAAAAAAAAATTTAATTACGAATTATCAAATGATTTGTGTTGAGTTTGGGTTTTGCTTTAAGGTGGGAGAAGAGATTTCCTCTATAGTTAGCCCTCTGGAGCCTGAAGTAGTGTTTGCAAGTACCTGCAAGGCGAAAGCATCCCAGAATTGCAAATGCTAGTTGACCTTCTTGTCCCTGGTGGGATATATTTGTTGTCATGAACCACCTAATACTGGGTGTACTGTAGGAGCTCCAGTCCTGGGGGCACCGTGCTGTTCTTCGCTAGTCTGAAAAAAGCCACAGGGGGGGACCAGAGGGGAAAGACATAGTCTTTATTACGTACATCTGGGGAAGACAGGGTGGCGGCTGGCAGCTGGCCTGTAGGGAGTTTTCGCACTCAGGGGGGTGGGCTAGGGGCTTATCTAGCAGAGCAAAGAGGGAGAGGGAGAGAGGGACGGAGTGGTGCTGGGAAAGGCCCGTGCGCAGGCCAAGGACAGAGAGCCTGGTGAAGCTTGTTAGCCATCAAGGACGTGGGAAACACTTGTGTCTGTGCTGCTCTGCTCCTCGTGGCCGCTGGCCAGGCAGACATCGCTCCGCTGACTGGGAGGAGGAACGGGGCTATATCCTCATATGACCCTACACGGTGGGAAGGCAAAGGACCAGACAGGCACAGAGGAGTGCAAACAGGTTGTTATGGTGGACTCCGGAATCAATAACAGCCAGGGAAACTTCAAATGCGCAACTGAGTTATTCAAAGTACTGTGAAAAGTGTGTGCCTAATTTGAATATGAGTTGCTGAAGGCGGCTGAAAGCGTGGCTAAAACTAGAAGCTGCCTGGCAGCACACGGACGAAAGGCACAGGTGTGCCCAGGCCAGCCACAAGGATGGCCACCAGATAGATAATTTGGTCTAAGGCCCGGGGGCACTCGGCGCATAGTCACCTAAGGTAAGCACACCCACAAGCCTCCCACGCTGAGCGGCCAAAGGGGGCGGACTTTCCTACCAAAGGTCAACCCAAGTGGGAGCGCTACAGGTCTGCCACTCAGGCATGGGGAGCACGAAGAGTAACAATGACATGAGTGTGTACTTAGTTGGAGTCAACAAACACATCGCCATGGCCGTTACAATTTCTATAGATTCTTCCTCCTTAATTGCAGAGTTTATACTTTCTGTGCCAAAGGTTAAGAGCAGGGACCCTGGAGTCAGACTGCAGGGTTTCCCGTCACGGCCCCACCTTTGTACAAAGTAGGCAAGTTACTCTGTGACCCAGTTTCTTCACCTGTGAAATGGAAATCATAATGATACTGCCTTCATTCTACTTTATGAAGACTAAATAAAATAACATGTGAAAGAGTAAAACAAGGCCTTGTGCCTAGTGACTGCTACATCAGCATCACCTATTCTTCTTCTTCTTCAGGTTTTAATTTCGTATGCCAAAATGAAAATAACATTTCAAGTCAGGATTATACTATTAAAAAAACAAGCCATTCATTTTGAAAGTTTTGCTTTTATTAATGAAACATGTTTTACCTAAATTATGTAGATATAAAAGAGCAAATTCAAAATTATGAAATTTGGAGAAATGATAAAGTACATCATTGGCTACAAAACACTGGTACTTTTTATTAATACATAATTTCACAAACCACAAACTTTACCCATCACCTTATATCCATTAACACACACTTTGCTAGAGTTGGTTTTTTTAGTTTGATGAATCATTGTTCATAAGCATGGAGTAAGCATTAGCATTACTGACTAAAAAGTGGTGTAAGTAGAGGCAGGGAATTTTTTTCCCAACCAATTCATTCAACTAATTCACCTTAAGTCAGTTTATACAGTAATTTTACTATATTTCTTTTAGAAACTGACAGCAGGGGGCAGTAATAAACTTCTTAATGGGTTTATTCAATTAAATATAAGTTCTGTCATCTTAATAGCTATCTTTTCCATAAGTACTTTTTCTTGTAGTTTTGCCTATAATAGAAATAAAATTGAGTCTTTCTTTTGGATTCTATTTAAATTTTTTTAAACCCATTAATCTTGGAAACAAATCATTCTTCATTAGAAATATAGTCACATGTTACTCAAACAGTTCCACAGGTTATCAAACTACATAGGGCTCCACTTACATTTACCTGCAAAATAGGCCCCTTCTAAATGTATTACTGTGGCAAGTAAGTATACCATACCCCTTCAAAACTGACAAAAATCTATTTAACATCAAATAATTAATTCAACTGAACCAAAGTTCACTTAACCATTTGGTAATTTGTGGGGCCACCAAATTCATGCTTCTGCCTCTTTTTCTTTATGGAAACAGGGAGGTGTTCATTTAATTAATAGCTACAGAATTATTAACAACTTTTCTCTGGTCATCTCTCTGTTCACCAAAGCCCATTACCAGTGTTCATAAGTCATCACAAGTTGTGGCCTTCTTGAGTAATTAAGTCTTTGATGAGAATGCTCCATTGTTTAAATGACCATAGTTACCTGGTCATTTTTGTATCTTTTTGATTTTGGATTTTGGGGGGGAGGGGAGGGTTGGGTTAATTTTGTTTGCTTTTTTGAGGGGCAAAGTAAATGGGTATTGGATTCTGTTAATTTCTGTTCTAAAGATCCTGGTCCTTGCCTGGCTGGCATGGCTCAGCAGTAGAGCATTAACCCATGATCCAGGAGATTGAAGTCTGATTCCCTCCCAGTCAGGGCACATGCCTGGGTTTCAGGCTGGACCCCCGGTAGGGGGTGGGTGCAGGAGGCAGCCGATCAATGACTCTCTCTCATCATTGATGTTTCTATCTCTCCCCCTCTCCCTTTCCCTCTCTGAAATCAATAAAGATATATTTTTTTTTTTAAAAAAAGATTTTGGTCCACTCTGCCATGGATTGGTAAGTGCACCAAATGTATAAGAACATTCACTGAGCTCCTTTTCCACATGAGACATATGACAGTCTAAAGAGAAAATAGTCTTTTAGGGAAATTTTATATAAGAAAGAAAACCTTTAATAAAGAGTTCCCTGCACTGGGACATTTTAGAACTTGACTCATACTGACGAGTCCAGGGGACTCAGAAGCAGAGATTAGGTGGACCTATTGATTGGTAGGCCACCTACATAGGTCCAGAAGCAGGTGACAGAACTTGTGGGGAGAGACTTCTATAAGCAGAGGCCCAGCAGACACCAGCTGGTAAGTGTAGGGACATTCAGTGTCGAGGAGTTGGCAGCTAGCTGTACAGGAGGTGAGTGGGATGTGGTACAGTTGCCAATGGTAAGATCCCGACTTACTTAAAAGTAATGTACCACAGAAAAATATGGAAGCAGGTATCAGGTTCCAGATACAGGGGACTGGAGCACAGGGAGAAAATTCTACCTTTTAAGAACTTAGGTTAGGAAAAGGCAAGGCTACTTACTGCTTCACAAGGACAAAAGGACAGAGCAGGAAGTAGAGACTTGGACATGATTACATGAGGTAGGACTTTAGTGACTAAACTTGTGCTGGGTTCCGAACAGGGAAACAAATTGCTGGACTGACAAGGCTGGGCTACTATGCTGCTGAATTGGAGCGTCTTAAATTTGGCCTAAATAGAAAGCATTTGGCCTGGGAACCTGGATATAGTGAAACTTACAGATGTAGAAGAAGTAGCCCCAGCTAAAGGAAGGATTGATGGAAACAGTAGTATCAAAGCCAGGCCAGTAATTTCAAGACATTTCTACTTTATGTATACTCACTACTCCTTCCCACAAACGTATAACTGGTACAATATACCAGTTGTCACCATAAATAGGAATGAAAAAGTTCTATATTCCTCCCCTATTCTTGCACAGTTCCAACAAAAACTCAACCAAAGAGAGAAAAGTTGATGGAGGAAAGCTTATGTGTAATAAGTGAAGTCATATACAATTTAGATAATATTCAGTTACATACAATTTAGACACTACTCAAATTATATGCAAATTATTTGTTGACAATTTGAATTATTACATTAAATTTTTAATAGTCAGAATTTCCTGGCTGGCCGGCTTGACTCAGTGGTTCAACATTGACCTATGAACCAGGAGGTCATGGTTCGATTCCCAGTCAGGGCACATGCCCAGGTTTTGGGATTAATCCCCAGTGGGGGATGTGCAGCATTCAGCTGATCAATAACTCTCTCTCATCATTGATGTTTCTATCTCTCTCCCTCTCCCCTCCTCTCTCTGAAATCAATAAAAACATATTTTTTTTAAAAAAAGAAAAAAACACCCATTCTTTGCAGTAAAAATGGAATCCAGCAATATAGTCCAAGGATGTTTAATATTCTAAGTATAATTATTCATATCTAATTGTAACATGCCTATTAAGTCATCATTATTAGCCTAGGGAAGTTTCAATTAATGTATATAATTAAAAGCAATTAAATTCTTTCTTTTTATAATCAAAACTTGGCATCTCCAATGCCTCCAATTAGTTAACGTTAGTGAGACTTTGATCTTTCACCAAAAGCCAAAGCAAAATGATTAGCCGTATCAAAACTGCAATGCTGTCTGTAGAAAATTCCACCTCCCCAAAAGAAAATAGAAATATAAGCAGGTTGCCGATTCACTTCTCTTACTAAGGATATGTGGAATATCCCACTTATTGCCCTTTGGTTTAGGAAAATGTAATAATAGTGCCACCAGCTAGTAGGTTATGAGTGTACATGCAGTGCTTGTAACACTAAGAATTAGGTGGCTCAGCCCAGGAGTTTTGTTTTGTTAAATAATATTGTCAACAATGAGATACCAGATAGTTCTATTAGATTACCAATGTGAAAATTGACAATACAAATGTTGTTATTGCACATGAAATGTAAATAGGTACAAACAATTTGGGGAACAATTTTGTGATACACAATAAAGTTAAAGATGTACATCTCCTAAACTTTCAGGTAATACCCAATTGCCTACTTGAATATCAAACAGATATATCAGATTTAATATATCTAAAACTGAACTTCTGATTCTCCTCTTCTCCAATAACCTTCTCTTTCTAAATCTTAC